CCTAATTCTATATCTTAAGAGTGGTTATCTTAAGTGTGAGTTTTAAGTTCTAGATATTTAATTAAGTGTGTCATATCTTAATTAAATTCTAGATTCAAACCCCAAGTTAGGATAAGAGTGTGTAATATCTCTTAAACACCAACTTGGTTTATCCATCCCTGAATTTTCTTCCATTTCATATCCCCCCATTTCTCCTCTTAATTTCACTCTTTTCTTCCATTAAAATACCCAAAAGAACTCCCTCATCAACTCCATATATTTCCAGTCCATTCCCCCACAAAAACACCCTTCTTCCTGCCCAGAAAACTGTCAAATAATCGATTATTGCTACTGTAAATCGATTATCCCCCCTCCCAGAACATCCCCAGAAAACTGCCCAAGAACCTGAAGCCCTTAACAATCGATTATCCACTCAGGACAATCGATTATCTCCCCTTCCCTGCAAATAAAGAGGTTTTAACTATAAAACCCGGAGCTGAGATATAACAATGAGGGTGTTCAAAATAAAAGATTATTCTACGCAATTTGTTTCCTTGACTTTGTTGCACGCGAGGTATTTGACAGGCATGACATGCAGGTGTGATTTTGAAACAAAATGGCAAAAAGAAACTGTAACGGTTGCAATCAAATTTTCAGAAGTGGGGAGTGGAATTCTTCTGAAAATAATCATTTTTTACTCCAAAACCAACAATGTGTGAAGCCTACAAAACTACTTTTAAGAAGCAAAAACAGCCCATATGTGAATCAAATGACCGCAGAAAACTTAGCTGTGAGAGCTTCTTACCTTTTGCACGGCAAGATCAAGGTCTTCAAGGGAACCATATTCTCTCTCAAAGCGCATCCAAGAATGGCATATGTCCTGAAGGGTTCTGTTTTTTAGAAGAAGAAGATATCATCTAATTCATAATAAAAAATCACATCTTTTCATCAAAATGATAACATTGTCCAGGAATCCTAATGCTTTGAATTCACAAATTCAACTATAGTATGAAAGGCATGAATATACATAGCATATAGAAAAATAGGAACCCGGCACAACTTAAAGCCATTATATTATAAATCTAGGGTATGTTTGGCATGCTGGGCTAAATAGCTAATGGCTAACAAGTGAGAGTTAAAAGTTAAAGTAATCATATTTATCATTGGTGCAGTATATTTCATCTTAAAGGTTGAACAAGTTATATACAAAAGACAAGTTGCTAGTGAAGGTAAAAAGAAATGAATAAAACATGATTTCTCTGGTAAATTAATATGGTTCTTAATGGAAACAATAAATAGTTTCAAGATCAATCTCTATATTTATTTATGAATTGCTTAAATAATCAAATTTTAAAAGATAAAAGATTAGAAGAACATTTTGAAAAATGAACTTAATACTTACGTAAAATGTATAGCAACTAACAGCTCTTTATAAAAAACAATATAAGTTTTCGGTGTAAGAATTTACCTCTGAGCCTGTGCCAGGGAATTTTTTGCTATAACATCTCTTGTACAAGGATCTGGCTTTGCTTATGTCACCCACCTCAATTTCCATGGATATATATCCGTGCCAAGCATCTAGCATAGATCCACTGCAACAAACAGCAAGGTGGCAGGTTTTATAAAGGACAATGCAATGGTTTAAACTGGCATAAAGAAATACTCCCTCCGTCCTGAAATAGATTACAATCTTTTTTTCTATCCTCTCGATAACTTTTGTTTATTTGTGTGTTTTCATTGAGTATTTGATAAAATAAAATATTCTTGCCACCTCTCGTTTTGTAGAACTTTTGACGTACTTTTTTAATATGTAATCTTTATTTCTTATTAATGTACCAATTTGTAGATAAAATGATTTCAAAAGATAAGAGGTTTTGCCTTGTAACTCCCAATTTGTAATCAAAGTAGGGACTGAGGGAGTACAATATTACCAGAATTTAAGTAAGCTTTCCCAAACACCAGCAGCAGCAATTAAATCTTTTCCCAGGTTCGCCTCTAAATGGGCCCAATAACTATACATTTGTATTAACTTTTCAGTATTCTTCAGATGTGGAGATAAATAGTCTGATGCACGCTGGAATAAATAAATAAACAAACTTTAGAAATAGAAGAGAATAAGAAAGGCCTTATTGATTTCTTTTTCCCCGTTTTTTTGGATAAATCATGTTCATCTGCTTCCAATGACTTATTGCCTTATTAGGGAATGGGGAGTGGGCCAGTAGTGAAGGCATGGTGTTGACTATAGATCTTTCCCATAGACTATCAGCAACAAAAAGCACAAGTAATAAGAACTCATCCTATCAAAAACATTAACAGTGGGAATTAGAGAAAAAGCCATTCAACCTGAAAAGTGGCCCGTATCATTGCATAATTCAAGTCAGTGCCAACTCCATCTGACGAAGACAGTCTCCGCCTTAAGCTATCAACTCTTGTGAGAAAAACTTCAAGATACTGCAAAAAGAACTCAGTAATCATTTCAAGTAGAGTGGTAGAAAGGGACTTTAAAATGCAAGAAGGCTAGTTTTTTAATCATTTACAAAAGAAATATGAGGCTTAAAGTGGATAAACAAGGCCTGCAAACTTCTGAGCCCACACAAAGAGCATAATGTGGAATAAAAAAGGAAATAGGGATAGAGAAAGGGATCAGAAGAAAGCTAAAGTTTTTCACAACTGCAGATTTTCCCATGTAATATCCTGCTCTTTTCAAAAAAATAATACCATGGATAAAGTATGATCAGAATAACATAACAAAGCCAGCATTCATGACCTTGGCTGCAACATCATTAGTACTCCCCTCGTCCTAGTGTATTTGTCTAGTTTGACTTTTTCAAATCAAACAGAATCAACTTTGAGCTTCAATTGAACAAAAAATATAATGTATATTAGTATCAAAATGATTTTATTACATTTATCTTGTTGAGAACTTTCAAAATTTTACTACATTGCACTAGTATGCATTACATATTGAGAGTAATTGAAGCTCAAAGTTTGTCCACTTTGACTTGAAAAAGTCAAACTGGACAAATACACTCGGACAGAGGTAGTACATAGTAGTGAACTAACAATCAACCAAAGAAACAAATGCATCTATGATCTACCTCTTCTATGCTTAGGAAGGTACATTGAAGTGACTTCTCAAAAACCTGGGAATCACAAAAGGAAATTATAACTATATAAGAATTCATTCCTAAACAAAGTTCAACATTGCCGCTAGCCCGCTACTACTACATTATAGGTCATAGAATACAAATTGCAAGATATGTAGTATTTCAAAAGGAAATAACATGAATACATGATCATTGATGTTTCCATATGAATACAGTAGTATTCATATACGACTAATATATAAAAAATGGTCCAGTATTCCAGAATGTGAGAAAAAATATGAGTACAGAATCTATGAAATTATGTTCAAATACAATATTCATATGAGGAATAAATAATTAAATACGTTAGCTAGATTTAAGAAGGAAAACCGAGGAGAAATATAACAAAATGCCAAAAATCAAACAGACATTTCTTGAGCACACGCTTAACTATTTAGCAAAGATGCAATAGAGCCCCCCATAACAAGTCACAGAAATCAGCACAAAAGACAGTTGAAAGCAATTGTGCATCAAGGATTCACATGTTATGAATAAAACCAATGGATAAAATATCAGAGGTTGTCTTTTCATTACAAGCACACCCACCCACGCATATGGTAAATTTTACTTCAGTTATATCTGTGGTATAGAACTCTATATGCAATCCCTGATAACGTGAAGCAAAGATCTAGTGCCTAATTTTCAATTCAAGGTGCTTTTAATCCATGTCGTGCTTACGAGATCCCTAATGGCAAAGACTAAAAGCAACACTTTGGCTAAAATTGAGATACTAAGTATAAGCTGGGGACTGAAGTGCCATTTTTCCAAATGATTCCTATTTTTTTCAAATGATTCCTATTTTAGGGGATGTTTGAGCACTCTATGTGAGGCAAACCAGTGTAGTTTCAGGACCAGAACATACAGTGGATAGTTCATCCTCAGAAGCACGACTCCGTTCAAGACATAACAGATAGCGAGACCACAAGTCTCCAGACCAAGGACAGTTCCGTGTAGCCCTATGATGAATGTCTCTCACAATCCTGGCAGTCTGCAATGAAAAAATTCTTGATTTGAATCATATCCATTATATAATTAAACAAGGAATACAAAGAGAGGAATAGGGATGGAAGTATGGAACCTTCAAGGTTTTGCCCATGTAGAGAGTATAGTCGAGCCAGATATCACAAGAAATGGGAAAGTCACATACGGCACGCTCATACAATATTTGTGTCCTAGCCAGGTCCCCGGATGATTGCTCAAATTTTAAATAAGACTGAAAATAGCCAAATTAAGAATACTTTAAAATCCTTGTGGGCCACGAATTTAATTAACAATTAAATGTACTATATTTTACAGAAAAAAATAAAGAAAAATAAAAATGACTTAAAATCTTCACTCAGAGAATGATGTTCCCACATAGTTATTAGATGCCTCTTCCCGGGTAAAGCGTTTCAAGTAAAGGACTTTGAAGAATAGATCAATCTTGTTTTTTTCTTAAGTTCTATAAACTAGACATTATTCAAGGGTTGGCACTTAAGAATTTCAAGTTGATGTGAGTGGAGATAAGTTTGACCACACTTAAAGCTCATCAGGACAAAATATAATGAAATACTATGACAATATAAAAGATAATAGAGAAATGTTTTAAGGTCACCCGCAGGTTTAGGGTATTACTCAGAGTGACGGCCTGTTATGTGTGTTTCTTAAAATAACCCTGAGGTAGTCTAAAATAGGATTTCCTAATATAGCCCCTAATTTAACAAGTGTGCATATGGGAGGGTTATTGTGAGAAATAGCACAGACCTAAACCCTCAGGATATTCCCAAAGATATTTCTAACTGCATTTTCAAATGTAAAAACACCTAACCCATACAAAACAAGATATTTGAGATTGCAAAAAACAAATCCAAGGCACAGAACAGATTTCAAGTGTTATACACAATATGGTGGGTTCAAAATGCATGTCCTAACTTTCACTTAGGTGCTATGTTTTACAACAAAAAACAGAAATTATTTAGTACCAATAAAGATGAGCACCTGAACATTGAAATGAAATAATTTAGTCATCATGCACAGATGCACAGTATAATCCAAACTCTGTTGGACTTTGGGGGGTCAAGATGTATGCAGTATTATACTATTATGCCTATAAAATCAGAGAGGCTTCTTTTAGATGCATTGCTGCATTTACTACCCAAAACTTCAAAGAAAGTAAGAATCGATGTAAGTTTAATGTGTCATATTGATTTAGACCATGCGCCTGGAACTAAAACATTGTCAACAATGACTTTTTTAGCTCCATTGGCAATGGACATCAAAGATCCTATATTGAAATACAATAAATTCAATAGTAAATCTGGTAATAAATTAGCAGATGCCTGAACAATCCCAAAAAATATGCAACTTTCAAACCATACTTTCAAAGCAATACATATAATAGTAAAAACGGCATACTATAGAAAAGGAATGAAAGTAAACTATAAATTTTGTGAATGGAGATTGACAACAAGGTCCAGAAAGATGATATATAGCTGATTCAAGATTTTCACCAGCGTGAGAGCCATGGAAGGTTCAAATTCCTTTTTTCTCAAATATATTTGAATCCCTTTATTTCTAAAGCAATGATATTTGCAATGAACATTATATTTTTTGAGTCCATGAAGCATTAATATTTTCCACACGCCTGAACATAATATGAACCAAGAAACAAATCAAAAAGTTGACTGCATTATAAAGAACTCAAGAAATCTCGAATCTTCTGAATTTATTAACATGATGACACTGTAACCAGCAAAATAAAAAAAAGTGCAGACCATGAATTGTTGAAGTCTTTCTGCCTCATTGGCATCCTTATTGGATATTTGAGCCTCAAATTCAAGTCGAGCATTCAATATCTCTAGAGCTTTTTTGTATACTGATGCCACGTGTGAAGAAAGTCCGTCCAGGTCATTGGAGTTGACATCAACAATACCGCCGTGCTCTACTTCCCAATCTTTGTATGCAAGGAGAGTCTTTCTCATGTCCCCAAGGGGAACAGACAGTTGTCGATGGAACAAGTTTCGAACTCGTTGGATCTGCTTCTCCTTCACCTACCACATGATGTGATAAGCATTATCAAACTAGTCAGCAGTCTATAGATTGCAATTTTGAATTATAATTTTCTATTAAAAAATGGTTAACAAAGAAACAAGGATGTGACATAGTATGATTTCAGTAGTGCAAAAAGGAGGTAAAGATGAAAAAATACATCAAGAAAAAAGCAAGTACCTCAAGGTCAGTTTCATCAATTGTGAAAAGAATGGCTTGTTCAAACTCCCTATATAATTCCCATATCCTGCCACCTTCAGTGACATGCAAACCAGCAGCTGTAAGAGCACGTTCAAAGAGATTCCTTGCTTTTGATATACCATCTATGGAGCATGATCTAACCAATGGATCATGCTCTTGAACATAATCCAAGTAGTCACACCATAAAGCCACAGACTGAAGAGAGAAAAGTTAATCTTAGTTTAAAAACAGACAGGAAAAGTTTGAGTGAGCTACAAAAGCTACAGAGCATTATTTATCTTCTCAAAAATCATACATAACTTGCATTGCGGCATGACAAGCAGTATCTTTTAAACTGGCAGAGCTAAACTTGGTTCTGTGTACTAGTACTAAGCTTTTAAAAGTTATCTTTTTCTTAATTAATTTAGACTTTACCCGATCACTACCACAAGAGATACAAAGGGGTTTCAATATCTACCCCAAAATGTTAATATCTTTCAGCTGTCTACGCTCAAGTTACCATCACCTCTCTATGTTAAATGGTTATTTTCAAAGGTATAATGTTAATATTGTGCTTTGAAGGAGAGAAGTTCTATGAGGTGAATAAGATATTTCTTGAAGTTAAAGCATACAAACCCTGCTTAAACCACATTTTATTACATGAAAAGATCTCTACATTCTTTCATATTTATGCAGCTTTTCTCCCTAGAACAGAGTATTCAGTATTCTTAAGGAAGAAAAGGGCCGTAAATTTCATATGAGGGAATATAGCTAACCAGATAATCAGACACTCCACGTTCATATAATTTTTGAATATCAGAGAAAGCCTCAGATCTGCATGCCAATGAAAAAGAGTGAAAACAATACATATGAACAGATACCTTCGTTTACTCAAATAAATTTTCCACTGTGAGCTTGCTATATACGATAAACAAGTGTTAAAACAGGATAAAACAAGAAATATAAAAGTGAAGATAGCAAAAATACATGGGCTCACACTATTGAACACAAATAAAATTTCCATGCATCAGAAAAAAATATACTCCATATGAAAACATACACAAAATGAAATTAGCATCTTGGGCAGTGGTTAATCAATTAATATTTCACAGGTTACACTATACTATTCTAGTAGAAGATTTACCATGAGTTGTAAACGAAAAAAAGGCTGCATTCAAGAAAGCAAGAGGTAGACTGGGCAAAGCTGACCTAACACAATTACAGACCCAAACCTGACACAAATTTAGGCGAGTTTGGCTATAACGTCTCAATTCTTATAATAAAATGGGTTGACGTGTTTAACCTAATTAATCAAAATGGGTTTGCTTTGAGTTGCAAAGCTTTACTTGATACAATACACACCTAGCACATTTAAATAATTAAATAGGTTAACTGGTCACAATAGGTTAATCTGAACACACTTGTGCATGTAATCCTCTAACTTTAACCATTTGACTTCAAGTTTTTTGTGTTTGTTTGCATTTTGTGCCCTACTGGATGATCATAGGCATGGCAAACTTTGAACACTGATTGCTGCCTACTACGTGAAAGTGTTGAATATGGTTGAGAGCTTGAGGAAAACTGTTACTTGTGTTGTTAACTTGTTAATATATGAATTATTACAAAAAGGTTAGTAAATGGGGTAGACAAGTAGTTTGACAACCCGGAGCCAATCTATTCAATTATATGAGTAAACAGGTTGGTTTCAAGTAAACATGTGTATACAAGGTATAAGATAAACATGTTCGCGGAAAAACTTTCAACCATCTTAATAAGTCAGTCTAGTTTATTCGGATAGGGGATGTTCAATCGATTTAAGTTCAACCCAAGTGTGACCTGAAACGACGTTATATGTTTGCCAAGTCTAGCCAGAAGGGACACATTCCCCAGCGTTCTCTTAGGGTGCCTTCAAAACCTGTTATGCGACCACAACTTGAAGTCCTCTCAAAATAAATTGAAAAAAGGAAAAGTGTTGCAATAGTGGAGGTCCTAAAAGGGATCTAGAGGATGAACAATTTACACCCAAAAAAGAGAGTATACTCTGTACAAAAATTATTTAAATCGTACGGCTAATAAGTCTCCCATACTATCTTAGCAGTTTGCACATTCCTAGATGGCCTGCCAACTTGCCAAGTGAATCCTACCACTGATCCTCCATGTTATATCCACTTTCTTCTCTCTCAAAATATCCCGACCAAATTAAAAAATAGAAAGGCTAGCACATTATCCACAAAGGAAAACTTGAAAAGGAAATGCAGCAACCAAACCATTTCATTTAGTAAAAATGTTCAGCAAAGCAACAATACCCGGAGCTAAGGGACAACTCGTCTTTAATCCATTCCTGCCACATGCCAGGACTCAGTGGAAATATGGCACTCATAGCTTCCCTAGCTAGCCTTAGCTTTTCAATGTCTCCCTGCTTCCTAAGAGCTCTAATATACTGCACATACCACAACATGCACAAATCAAAAATCGTACTAGCAGAACATTCAACAGCAAAAAATAAACCTCTACTGTATCATATCTTAGAAATGCATTCCCACATAAAAGTGTTTCGAGTAATAAATCTGTTCTCGACAAATTGATGCCTATCTTCTCATGAACACAGATGTCCATTCACATATCGACTTATATGCAACACAATAAGGTACAGAAATGGTAAGTATACTTGGGCATGGGCATCGTAATTAGACGGGTTGTTGGAGAGCTCAGTTTGAAGAGCTTGCGTTTCGAGGTTCAGTTTCGCTTCGTCATCGTCTTCAGAGTCGGAATCTGAACTGTAATTCGAGTTAGGGACATCGTTCATGGTTTGGTCTTCGTTGTCCATAGCAGCGTCTTCAGAGGTGTGAGGTGCTTGGGCAGAGGAATCTAGGGTTTCAGTTGCCGCCATGGCGCGTAGCCGGAGGGTAAAATTGCAGTGGCTGTAGATGGAGACTAGAGAGGGTTATAGAAAGCACATAGTCCTTTCCCAAGGCCGCCCGGAGCGGAGGCAGTGAGGCACATAGTATCACAAATTCTCAATAGTAGGGAGTACTAATTTTGTAATAAGTTTTTCTAAATCAATACTCAATAAGTTTTAATTTTAATTACTTATATGATCTTCTATAATTGAGATTTATTCTTAAGATAATCCTTCATAAATAATGTTACTCAAAGAGGGGTTAAGTTTAAGGTGGTGGTGTGAGAGTGAGACTGGATATTAGTGTTAGTGGAACCTTGTCGAATTAAGACAAATAATTTAGGATAAAGAGAGTATGTGTTATTGACATTCGCAAGCACTTGACAAAAAATGAATGATGAAGATGTAAATTATTTCGATCGATTAGAATTAATTTGTTTTTGGAAAGGAAGCATCACCTTGTGATGACGGATAAGTGAGAAAAGCATTCACGGTGTCACACCGAATGTGTAATTGTTTTTTTTTGGAGCGGGGGGCGGGAAGGGAGGAGTGTGAACAATGGACGTCAAACTCTCTTCACGCCCCAATACTCTAAGCCTTTGTTTGGTTAATAAGAGAAAATAGAAGGAAAGAAATTGATGGGAAAGAAAATAGAGGGAAGAGAAAATGAAAAGAAAATAATTGTTGTTTGGATGGGTAGAAAATGATGAGAAAAGCAAGAAGAAAGAAAATGTAATAAAATCAAAAGACAATTTTGTCCTTAAAAAGAAAAAAATGTGAAAGCATAGGTATGGTGATTTGTGGCTGTGAAGAAGATAATGAAAGGGCATATTTGTAATTTAGTTACTTTTCTCTCCACTTGCGTCCTTTTCTCATATTTGCAGGTGAGAAAACTTTTTTAGCCAATTTTCTCTCTTCTCCCTTTTCCATCCAAACCAAACGGAGGATAAATGTATACCCTTCTTAATTTGTTTATCGTAGTAATGCTTCTCAATTACACTTGATTCAACCAAATTTAATAAAATATTAAAAAATGTTTAAAAATGTATTATAGAAAAGTTAATTAGATAAGACTAAAATATGGTATACATACCAAAAAACTGTATACATATAATGTCAAAAGGTATCAATATATTATGTTGAAAAAGGGGAAGGTTCCCATTACATTGGGACCCAATGTCATGGGATGACCATGGGGCGCTCCGGTGCCCCGTTCGTAAAATTGATGGTTCCTACCCCCTAACCCCCCGGTAAACCCCCTCATCCCGCCCGACCCAAACACACCCCCACCCCCTTCAATTGCACCCCACACGTCGATTTTGACTTTGAAGTCAAATTTTAACTCCAAAGTCAAAATCAAATTGTGGGTGCAATTGAAGGGGGTGGGGGGTGTGTTTGGGTTGGGGCGGGGTGGGGGGTTTACCGGGAGGTTAGGGGGTAGGAACCGTCAATTTTACGTACGGGACACCAGAGCGCCCCCGGGTCATCCCATGACATTGGTTCCCAATGTCATGGGAACCAAGGTGGTAAAAAAATACTACGTATTAATTACCGGAGTATGAAATACCAACGTACAATACCAAATTATGGGGCTGCACAACGTGAAAAATAACAATTGTAGCGCTCCACAACAAGATTTTTGAGAATCTCCTCCCACTTATTAGGTCATCATTTGTATACTTCTATCCATCGAAGAAATACCTTTTCCATTTATTACCTCAACGCTTCACATAACTGTGAATACCTCTTTCGTCTCCAATTAATTGGTCTTACTATTCTATTTTTTCATTAACTTTTATTTGCATTTTCATTAATTATTTGACAAAATAAAATAGGCATGCCACCACTTATTTTTTTTTATGTAATTTGTTAAATATATAAGTTATAATTATTATTTCTATACCAATTTATAAATGAAATTATTTTAAAGGAAATAAACATCTTCATCTTGTTTGAAAAAAGATGATAAATTAGGAACGGAGGAAGTATTCCTTATTGATCATCTTGGCTCAAAATTCTTTTTTGTTTACATAAAAGTTAAACAGGGTTTTTTTATTGACAAATATATATTTTATTCATCCACTCATAATCCGTACTTTAATGCATGCTCAGAAGACTCATACAGCACTTTGTATTTAAATGGGTACAATCTACTTCAAAAAAAAAATGGGTACAATCTAATTCGTTAGGCATATCTAAAAAAAATGAACCATTAAGTAAATTGGGTTTAGTTAAAGATCGATGATAAAAAAATAGAGTCTAGCCCATAATACTTGCAAAGACGATATGCTTAATATAATTATCTCTCAGTGTAGTTATCAAAAATTAATCAAAAGTCGAACTTTGCTAAGGTGAGTCTTTTTGGGAGAGTCTTTTTTACCCCTCCGTCCCACTTTAAATCATCTGTTTCGATTTATGATGTTTGACTGAAATTATTTTCAAATCATTTTATATGATTTTATATGAAAAATGGTGTAAAATTAAAAAATAAAAATTATATATTTGAAAACTACATCAAAAGATCTGCAAAGCTAGCAGTGACATGACTAGATTGTTTTGTTAAATGACTAATTGAGAGATGTATTTTGATACTCCGTATCTTTCAATCCTTATGTGGGTATTTGGTGAAGGTTAAAGAGAGCTCGGGTCTTATCTCTCATGTGCTCATCTTATACATCCTATTTAACCTTCATCAAACACTCACAAAAGAATTGTGATAGTGAAAATTTTTTAGAATTTACTCTTTTTATTTCATGAGCTCCTTAAAACATGTACTTATCATATACTACATCCGTCCCCGAGTATTTGTCTAGTTTTGACTTTTTTCAATCAACTATTTTCAATATTTGACCCGTAATTAAATAAAATATATATTGTATATTAATTAGACAAAGTAGTATTTTGAATAATATTTGATACAATAAATCCAATAAAACTATTTTTGTAACAATATCTAGTATCATTTTTATTTAATTTGAGTTCAAAGTTTACCAATTTTGACCATAAAATAGTCAAAATGGAAAAATACTCATAGACGGAGGAAGTTAAACAATGTGTTATAGAGTACTTGTAAGTTTTTTTTACCTCTCCAACACATTTATTAGCTTGTTTATTTGCTCTCGAAATATGCTTAGTCATTGTGACTCCTAGCAGCAGGAAGACCACTCGGCAACATATTTATCATACTCAATAACGAGTTGGTTTCACAATATTAGCTATTCATTTTAACATTTTGAAAAGACTATCCCTTAAATTTAATCTGCACCACTAAAAATATATCGAAACACTAAGATTAACAAAAAAATAAAAGCAGCAGTGAGTACTCCTATTATTTTTACCGGAATTGTCCTTATAAGACCTTAGTTAATTATCAAACATGGGCAAACATTAGTATATAAATCCATACAAAAATAAAGGTGACAAATTTTATTCATGTGATATGAAGCTCCAAAACCGGCATCATCAATTCATTATAGTACCATAGTACATTGCTATATGAGGGGAAAAAACACCGTGCATAAGTAGACTTTAACCAAAGTGAGCACGTGGTATTGGTTATGATGTTCCTCACATAATCGAGTTTTAATTTCACAACACCAAAGTTGTGAAAAAAAAAATAAGAGTGCCCCCACACTTAACAGCTATCATAAATCAAAACTTTTCAATTACCTGCCAGCTGTTTGAATTTAAGAATGCAGGCGAGGGCAGAGTCGAACTCGTGGTCGTCCAAAGCAAAGGTGAAGCGGCAATAACCCGGAAGCCCGGTCCACGAGGAGCTGTTGATGCACAAACCGGTGCTCCTCAAAATGGACTCCCTGATATTTGAGTCGCCGATCTGGACTTCCCAGGAACTCGAGCCTTTGTTGTTGACTTTCAGAGTCTTGCCGAGGTACGCAGTGGGCTTTGCCACCAAAGAAACACCAGAGTGGGCTTCGAGGACATCCCACCCGCACTTCTCAAGGGTCTGTTGCACAAAACACATTTAGGGGAAGGCATGGATTCTACTTGCCATATGCAAATACTAGCTCTAGCTCTACAAGGCATCCATTTTCATGGGTTATTTGTATTCATCCAATTTGAGTTTTTTCGAGTCAAACTAGATGAACTTTGAATGTCAATTAAATAGAAATAGTAAGGTATATTAGCATAATAATTATTTCATTAGATTTATCTTGTTGAGAACTTTCAAAATTTTATTTTATTGTATAAATATGCGATACTAATTGAGAGTAATTGATGATTAAAGTTTGTTTAGTTTGACTCAAAAAAGTCAAACTGGATGGATGAATACACTGGGACAGAGGGAGTATATGATAACGTTGCGGATAATTTTGCAAGTTTGATGACTTCAGCAACTTCCACTTGAATGACTATTAGGAAAACTTTCTGTTAGCATTCCTTTCAAGAATGAATTTCATTCTTTTAAGGGAGTCAACTATATCAATAAACAAAAGTATGCAGTATAAAGTGCGCACACATACCTCCTTCAAGCGCTGATATTTATCAGACAGAATCTTTTCCTGCCCTGCCATCACGTTGAGAAACCCTCCCGTTTTTTGCTCTCTAAGATCCAGCAGCTTCTTCACTGTGTATCTTATTGTGCTGTGGGGTTTGCTTAAACCAGAAAAGCTATGGAACCCTTCAACTAATATGGGATGGTTTAGGAGAAGGAAACCAAATGCAAGCCCTCCCGTAAGCATCTTCATAAACAACCCCCCAAGCAAAGAAACGCAAAATGATGGATTTGTGGACCTTAAATTCAACAATGTGTCCTCCAGGTCCCACCCACCCCATCCATTTGAGTTGAATTCCACACCAGAGAATGAAATATCAATCACAACCCTCGCTCCAAATTTCGCACACAAGGACAATATCGCTTTGATCTCATCATTGCTGTACAGGTGGCCAGTTGGACTCACGGTGGGCCCAGAAATATAAATCCAAGGTTTATTGACCGTCTCCAGTACACCACCAAGTGTCTTCTCTGTCAACTTAAATCCTTGGTCAGAACTGGTTGGAACATTTACAACATTTGCCTTAAGAAATTTTGCAGCTGACACATAATTCCCGTTCGACCCAGCCGGGAAGCATAGAGTTCCACCTTCCTGGATACAACATAGGACTAGCTTATTGAAAAGGGCAAGAGTGCTATCTGCGTATACAAATTCTGTGTTGTTATTTGTTGGAAAACCATAACTGCTCCTAAGAAGTTCACTAATGTTGTTTGTCACATCAATTTCTGACTCGGAAACGTTTTGTCTCACAAAACTCTCGAAGATGGCAGCCTTCACAGGAGTTGCTATGGGCAAGAAGCTCTGATCTACATCCATGTGAATGGGATTATAATTATCAGCTTCAGTTTCACTTACAGCCAATTCAGAATGATCAAGGACTGAGACAACAGAACTAGGAAAGCCAATCATGTCGCATACTTTTGCATCTTCACCTTGTCTCTGGGGAAAGCAAAGGCCCAAAGTGATTAGCAGTACTTCATATCCATATTTGACGTAATCTTCTCACATAAAAACCAACTAGAGAAAAGCAAGAAGTTGAATAAAATTCTTGGTACGAAGGAATACTGCACCCACAAAGGATGCAACTTTTTTCTATTTTTCCTTGTCCCAAAATAGTTGCCGTTTGACATTTTCACGACAACATAGTTTCCATTTCCAATTTTATCCTTCTAAATTCAATTAAATAACACAAGTTCCCATATTCTTAGCCTTATAAAACAACACTAAATTTGGGCACATTAGTATTTCACATTTTCATCCACACATTAGGTAAAGGCGTGTAGTATTTTTTTCATTTTTAATCCATATATTATTAACATTTTCTTAATATAGGTGAAACACTACAAAACAGCACCCTTTTGGAGTGATTATGCATGTTATCAAACACTAAACACGTTCATATTAAGCTTCAAGCTCCCATTAGTTTCAAATGATATGTTTCTCAATACAACAGAAAAATGCTTCCAAATAAGACATATCTATTCACCTACACCAAGACTTCATGAAACTTCTAATAGCTTGTTGTCTTAGGTTACTATGGAGTACCGAGTATTTCACCATTTCTTAATCAACCACACTCCACTCCCAAACCAATTTTAAAAGGATCTTTTTGTTGGTGCATTCCTAGTTGATACAATTTCCATATATGTACTTATCACCTTATACAAATTGTGAAAGCATAAGAGGGTGACTAACCTCCAAGAGTGGATGTCGATCCGCAAGCTGAAAGGCTAGAAGTTCATGGAAAAGACACCCGTAATAGTATTGGCTTATTAGAGACGTACCCCCTTGTAAGAGTTCCACAACCTTTGACAACGCTTTATACATTTTTTCTTCTTCTGATATCACAAAAGCTACTTCAAGATCTGAATAAACCTGGACCATAAATGAATAAAGATGATTTAAGGGGAGAACCATAGTTGATGAAATAAAGCAGTGATATAGTATTATAGAGCACAAATAAGTTGACTCAAGGAAACCATTTTACAATCTGACACGAGAAAAAAACGAACTCATTGCCATATGGACATGAGAACTACTAAATGACACCTAGCGAAGAATAAGAAGAAGAAAAATAAAGATACCTTGTTCTTCAATAAGCCACAAACAATGGATGCGTGCGGAGGAAGAGGAGTTCCAGCAAGATATTTCAGGACACCATTAGAACTAGGCAGGCTAGATAGCTCAAACTGGTCAGATATATCTAAAAACAGACGGCACCCAATTTCTCTAGTAGTATTTAAAAGGAGCTCAAAAGCTGAGCTAGTAACTGATTCAAAATGAGCCATCCCAGTAACTACCAGTTGCGGCTTTAATTTCTTTATCAGTTCAACCAGTGAATCCGATTGCCGTGGAGCTTCAATGACAGTTAGTCTGTTTTCTGAAGAACCATCAGTTTCTCTCTCCTGCAATTCAAACCAGATTGCAAAAATACCATTGAATTCTTCAGATAGATAATGAAATTTTAATGAATGGGACGATGTATAGTTTAAAGTGGACAAGGACATGTAGGGCCCAGGCCGTTAAAGAAAGTATATCACTGCAATAAATCAAGAGCGAAATTTCAACATCCACTGAGAATGGATATAATCTCACTCAGTCCATTAATCATGCTCTAAGATGTCTAGATGCAAACTTAAACATTTAGATAATTCAATTCAACTGAAAAAATAGCAACACAACGATAAAAGCACAATGGTGAACTATACCTCGAGATTCAGTGATGTTAGCCATTTCCTTGGTAGATTCCGCGACAGTTGTTCGTCAACAATAGCAAGACGTGGCAAGAACAATCGAAAAATATTCTCAATTGCAACAGCTCTTGAAGGAAAGACAACAATATTCTAGCAAAAAAACACATGTTAAGATTGAGCTATTTGTTCCAAAACCAAACTTCCTGTTTTGACAAAATGCAAATAGCACCTCCAGAAATATTGAAAGGCTGATTTAGAAAGGGAATGTGGATTAGTGGTTTAGACTTCAAAGGAAAATGTGACAGTGGAATCCTTCTAGTCCTAACTCCTGAGTGACTGCTTTAACACGGAAGAGGAAAAAATAAAGGTTGACATTGTCTATATATAATACTTAACCTCTTAGCATTTGATAAAACGCAAAAAATATATATGCGGACTGCGGAGAATCAACAAGGAAAATACTATTTTGGATTACTTTCTTATATTGTGTATTAAGGAACAAAAACTCCATTCACATAAAATATCAAGCGCTTACATCAGCAGTTAGTGGGATGTGATGGTATGTCTTCATAAAGCCTGCAATAAGATTACGAAATCGCTTGCTTCCTGCAGGTGGCTCATATGGGAAAAATGCACTCTCCTTCAGAACACTAGCAAGATAAGCTAGGAATGGAATCTTCTCATCTGCAACAGCATCATCTTCAAATGACAAGTCTAAAGAATTGCTAATTTCACGGAACCCATTCTTGACAAACTCGAAGATCTTTTTGACCTGGAAGATCAGTATACACCATCATACTCATTGTTAAACGCAAATAATGATAAGAATGTATGCTAGTATATTCAATTAATCCATCGTCAGTTTGTCACGTACAAAGTACACATTTAAATTTCAAATGGTTTAACTAGTACCTGCTTGGGTTGGCGTAGTTGACAACTGTATACAGACAAAGCATGAGAAATACGACCTCCAGATTTACCATAGGCCCACGCTGTTCGAGCACATATTGGCTGATCTCCAACAAGTCCCATGAAAAACTCAAAGCGGTGTGGGCTATTCTTTTCGATCTCAACTAGAGCTGAAATATCTGTGTCAGCAGCCTGCAAAACTGCACATCAAAAAGGGTGCATATTTTATAGGTAAACATATTCAATAAGATATAACTCTTGTACCTGAAGAATTTTAGTCTGCCAAAGCTTTGTGACATGGAGACCACGACGCTCAAATAAGCGTTTGCAGACACCCTGCCCTGGACGGCCTCCCATATTAAATATCATAATGCCCATTGGTTTTATGACAGAAATTCCTTCTTCTACAGCTCTTGCAATGAGCCCTAGGCCAAACTGATCCTCAACAAATCCCTATATGTAACAGAAAATAAAGTAGTGTCACCATGTAGGTAGCACAGACCTCTGTGTGCTAAGCAGTAACCATTGTCAGAACACATAACAAATTAATAATGCTTCACACACACACAAATATGTTACAAATGTGGCACATTTTTTTTTAAATTCCTGCACACTACTATGGAATAGGAGATAGCAGAAGCAAGCATTAGTAGGTGATCATATATCCATATATGCAACATTCTAACAGCATGATGGATATTTGAAGTATGAATTACAAAAAAATATTGATTTATCATTCGTTACTCAGAAAAATCATAGTCAGGTTTCATTAGTCAAGTGAACAAAGGAAAGTGTTCAACACAAAATTACAATCAATTTTAAGTTCCTTATTACTTCAACTATAAGAAAAGAATCCCCTAACTCTGAAGAAGGATCTGTTTAATGGGAAAAAACAGAAAAAAGTGAAAAGTGCCGGATTAATATGTATGTAGTCAAGTACAATTAATGGCTTGTTCATTACACAGACCATCAATATGTTGTCTCAGTGCTAATTTAATCATGTTATGTACACAATGGTGAAATAAATATTATCAATAAAGGACGAGGATGTTGTGTGAGAAGCAAACAAGAATTGTGTTATACTCCATAGAAACTTACAATCATGTGGTTATATATTTCATAATTTCGTACTGTCTTGCACATGCAAAAACATATTGTACTTCGTATACATAAACAAACAACACCCGACAATGCTCAACAATTTATGACTCTACCTCGATACTTCTAAACTATAAATGACAATTACAGCAATTAGTAAGCAACTAAACACATAATAGTTTCTTTTAGTGTCCCCACCTGAAGTACACAGTAGTTGCTCAGAGAATACAAAAATTCTTCACTAGCATTTTCAGTGATCATCTTTGACATTGCATCTGGATTCGGGTTTAGTATCTGTATTGAGAAAATAAGGGAAACTTAATTTCTATAAGGACCAAACCATAATGGGATGCTATCTACAGAGAGCATCAAATAAAACCATCACTACCTGCGGTATGCATCCGACAATTCTTTCCAGCTCTATGTGATTATCTCTGCAGTAACCAAGAAGATCAGATTCATGAAATTCCACCCGATCCAATAAGGTTTTCCTTTCCGCATCATAGATGGGTTCACCATTGTCATCCAAAGCATTTAAGTACAGATTTATCCATGAGATTTTTATTGCTCTGGGATTTATGTCCAACCCATAGACCTGTGATTGTATAAGGAGTTCAGCTATATGAGCACAACAACATGCTCAGGATTGTTTATCACCAACATATTCAAAACAGAGCACACACCTTCAAAGGTGACCATTTATCTGCAATCGCAATGGATATCCATCCATTCCCACATCCAAGCTCCGCAACTGTTTTGTCCTCAAAGATTGAATCAGGGTGCCTGTTCAGCCCTTCGTAAAAGGTAAAGGACCAGTCCTCGGGAATAAATATACTAGGTATCAACAGCATTGTCAATTTCTTCCTCTTCTGTAAGCCTAAACGAAGCAATCAAACAGCATTAGCCTCCTATCAGCACAATAAAATCAAGAAGGCAACCAGTAACCAACAAAATATCTTCACTACACTCGACCGCATCCACTGATACACTGAAAAAAGTGATTAAAAAATGAAGAAGATCCAGCGAGAGAGAGAGAAGGACAAGGGAACACGACCTTCGTACTGCTCGAGGATTATGTCCTGAATCTGGAAATGGTACGATTTGAGGCATTGCTCGGAATCCTCCTTGGAACCAAACCGTTTTCGGAGAAGAGCGAGGAAGATCCGAGCCTCCTTTCTGGTACTGGGATCCTCGAGCCGCTCCAGCAGCGATCGCAGTGCACCGTACGCGGCGTCGCCGGAATGTTCGCACTGCTTCAGGAACTCGTCCGCCGATCCGCACACTCCCTTCTCCGCCATTTCCGGTAGTCTAGACGGGGTTGAAGCTTGGGGATGATGGGGGAGGGCTGAGGCAGATCGTTTGGGTTTTATAACTTTCCCTCACAAGTCGCCGTCTTGGACTTATTTGTATTTTCTCTCCGGTCCCAAAATGGAATATTATGGTTATGCGTTATGCCATCATATAAGAAGAAAACAATGCGCAATTTATAATTTTTATATGCTCTTCTTTGTGTGGGAAAAAATTACTCCCTCCGTCCCAAATTATTTGCCAAATTTGCTCTTTTTAAGAATTGTAGGAAATTTTGTTTATTTTTAAGTTTTACTTCCTCCGTCCCACTGTCTTTGTCTACTTACCTTTTGGCACACCATCCAATGCACTTCTTTAATCCATTTTATCTTGTAATTTGTATATTAAAAAATTATAAAAATTATATTTTAATAATCTATATGTTAAGACGAATCAAACAAGATCACACATGACTATTTTTAGGCTTACGCATTGAGAGAATTTGATGAGTCAAAGTGGTTAGATGAACAGTTCCAAAAGTCAAAACTGGACAAAGACAATGGGACGGAGGTAGTAATTTGTTATTTGATAAAATAAAATATTTTTGACACCTCTTATTTCAAAGAACTTTTCATGTAGTTTTTTGATATGTAATTTTTATTTTTTATTTCTTTACCAATATGTAAATAAAATGAATTGAAAAAATTTGATATTTTGCCTCGGTAATAGAAATGTGACAAATAATTTGGTACGGAGGAAGTAGAAAAAATTAAAAGACTTTGGAAAAATAAATAAGAATTGGAAGAATCTAGAAGAATTAAAAAAATTAAAATAAACTACAAAAAATTAGAACATGCTAGAAACTCAAAAACAACCGGAGGCTAAGAGTTAAAGTTCTAAAGAAACAAGCTCTTTCGTCCAAAATTGGAAAATTATAGTCATGGCACTTCGGTCGTGTTCTCTTCTCTTGGACTTCTAAAGTCTGATCTCATCTAAATAAATCTAATAGGATATGAATGAAATTGATTTGATCTGAATGAATATGATCACATAGATTTGATACAAATTTAAACAATATTGATTATTATTTTAAAAATAAAAATAATTATTATTGGTGATCATAAATTATTAACCTTTGTTATTGATTATTATTGTTATTATTATTGTCATTATATTCACTGTTTTAATAATTACTACTACTATTACTATAATTATTATTACTAGTAATTATTATTAATATTATTCATTATTCTTACTATTTTTTATTATTATTATTATTATTATCTTTACTATTTAAATTATCATTATTATTATTAAATACTATCATTTTCTTTATTATTTTGATTACTCACTGTATCATTATGAATTACTCCCTCCGTCCCACTGTCTTTGTCCACTTACCTTTTGGCACACCATCCAATGCACTTCTTTAATCCATTTTATCTTGTAATTTGTATATTAAAAAATTATAAAAATTATATATTAATAATCTATATGTTAAGACGAATCAAACAAGATCACACATTACTATTTTTAGGCTTACACATTGAGAGAATTTGATGAGTCAAAGTGCTTAGATGAACAGTTCCAAAAGTCAAAAGTGGACAAAGACAATGGGACGGAGGTAGAATGGATCTGATCTGAATGCATCTGATTAGACCCAATCCAAATAAATCTGATTTGAAATGATTTGTTTAAATAAGAATAAGTAATACTTTATAATTAGTAAAAATAAGTTAAGAATTCCATACTCACAAAGTACCAGAATAGAAAGTTTGCAAGATACCCAGAGTTTAAAACCAATGATCATTCATCATCATAATCAAACCTGTGTTGTTTAGTTTCAAAATCAGATCTTCTATCAGCTGCACCAATTTCTTCACCATCTAGGCTAGACCCATCTTCCTTACCATCTCCTGACCGCTGCTCCCCCGAAACATCAACCCATCAACCTTTGAGCTCTGCTCCCCTAAGTGTCAGCAACTTTTGTCTCGGTCTTCTTTTTCCTTTTTTTAGTGAAGAGAGCACAGCAAGCACTAAGCATTGCTTCATGTTGATCAATCTCCTCTTGGAACAATTTGGTCTTTTCTTAGATGAAGGCTATCTCATATGAATCAGGTGTTGCTTCTGTAGTAATTTTTGTGTTGGAGACAACCAGGTCATTGTAGTGCCTCCCTTCAAAATGCCTTGCATCAACATGAAGCAGCGGGGGGACAACTCTTATTCTTCTTCTTCAACAGTTGTGAGACCCTGTGACTTTAACAATTATTTGTGTTGGTCTTTGACTTTTTAGTAGAAAAACCAAGTATTTGATCATAGATGATCCTGCCCAGGTTGAAAGGGATGTCATGTTTGATTTTGTAGAGTAGAGCGGTCATACATTAGGGGACAGTGTTTGTGTCAGTTTTGGGGAGCCAATGAAAAGCAGCAACACGAAGTAAGATGACATATGAACTCTTCAAGATGAAGAGGGAACCTGGGACTTAGTTGATTGTGATTCACGCTCTCCATTTGTTAGGTGTGATTAGGTGCACTCGCATGCTTGTCTAATGAGGAGGCCTTTGTGTCAATTTTAATAAGATTCGACCACATTCAACCCTGCTGTTGACCTTTGATGGACTAATCGCATATATCAAAATTTGTGAATTATGATGAACTCATTGATGGTGTGTTGATAGTTCAATTTATAACTCTTAGACGAAAGTTTTTATTTTAAGGAAAAGACGGAAGTTGGTGGTGGAAAAGCGTGGGAGGTTGGGCATTAGTGGGCTTGTAGATGCAATTGCCACTACTATAATACTAACATTATTTTTTTTTGTGTGCCTATTTCCAGTGCACGGGAACACCAACGGGTCAAGTGATTGTGCATGGTGGTTTTTCTTGTAGTTATATGTTTTTAAGATTTTCTATATTTAATTATAAAATAATTGTAATTACTAAAAATCAACATTATTAAATAAAAAAGAATTATTTGACGTATTGTTTCTATTTTTTAAAAGTTACCATTATTCTTAATTAATTCCTTGCAATTGAGAATGTTTATAATATCAATAATTTATTTTTAAACACACCCGATTTGGCAAAACATGGCATTATTAAAAAAAGACTGGCCCATTATTGTTTTTTTAGGCCTTGATTTTTAGGCGGGAAAAAATCATGCTCCTTTTGTATATAGATAGATAGATTGTAATAAGAGTATTATAACACATTGTTTTTCATATTTAGTTTTTTATTATTAAATATTATTCTTGTAGTCCTTTTATGAGTATATTTTTACAAATAGTCCTTCTTTAATCTTCTGTCATGTTGGTATTAATTTAAAGGATATGAACCATAATGATTATGAACAACAAAAAACCCTTGATTAATAAAAGAAACAAAAATGATAAAAAGGGAAAAACAAAAAAACAAAAATGAGAAAAAAGGGAAAATTAAAAATAATGACTATGAACAACAAAAAACCCTTGATTAATAAAAGGAACAAAAATGAGAAAAAAGGGAAAAACAAATATATAAACGAAAAACAAGAAATCAACACCAGTGCTCCCATAGTTTGAAAAATAGACACCAATGCCACTTTCTTCGTCGGAAAAAAGGCCAGAAAATGATTAGAGAGAGTATGGGCCTGTTAATTACTGGGTCCGAAAGCTCTGGCAAGGTCTACTCACTAGGTCGAGTGTGATTTATTTCCTCAAAGCTTATTGGGCTTTCGTGCCGGGCCTGTTAATTACTTGGCCGGATACTCCCCAATCTAGGGTATCCACCAAAAATATTATCGTAAAATCACAAAATTCTATAAGTATTTTTGTGATTTTTTTAAATATAAATGATAAACTTTCAAATCAAATTAAATCAATTATTAATATTGAAAAAATATTATATTATTATTATTTGAATTTGAATGTTATTGACTTTAGTGATAAAACAAAAGAATTATTAATAATGAAAACTACTTAAAATTTTAAGAGATGAGATAAGTACGCAAATTATAAGGTACATCCGGCGGCAATAAGATCTTCGTTCATGCCGGGCTGCTAGAGTCGCTGCTTGGATCTTCACAACTGGTTTGTGCACAACTTCAAGTCGTTGGAGTCTCGCACTAGAGTTGCTAGCTCCACGCTTTTGCTGGAATTGCAGGTTGGACTGCACCGAGGTGGAATCTCACTGGAGAAGACGATGGTGCTCGGCGGTGGTGCTTAGTCGGAACTGTGACGGAATAAACGGCCAACTTGGATCGCGACTATCTCGTCGGATTCGAAATGCTGATCAACCAGTAAAAAATCAAAAAAATTCTCCTTTACAATTATAAATTGGCCCCAACTCTTGAATGAGGACTACATTATTTAAAAATTGACACTACTTTGTTTTAACATGAACAATATGTTATTCGTAAATGAATATTATAATCATATTAAACAAATTTGGGAAAATGAGTACGTTATTTTAGAATGAGTACTACATCTTTCAAAACGAGGATCACATTATTTCAAAATCAACACTGAGTTAATTACCTTACTTCTATCGGATTTACTATATATGCGGATTAGCCGGTGGCGTTGCAGAATTGGCACATGCAGAGAGTGCCAAGAGGTAGACCCGAGTTCGATTCATTGGAACTGTGCTGAGAGGCAACTAAACAAAACATAAAGTCTTTCTACCAAGTATATGTTTGATATCCTGCTACCAATATGGGATTAAAATCTAAGGGGCTGTTTGTTTCAGCCTCTTAATGGTTCAGATGTCTGAATGGTTCAGCACTTAATGGTTCAGACGGTTTGTTTCAGCTTCTTAATGGTTCAGATGTCTGAATGGTTAAGAGATTTGCCTCTGAATGGTTAAGTATTATACAGAGTCTGAATGATTAATACGGAGTACCTCTTATCTGAATTGATCAGATATTTGCCTCTGAATAGTTAAGCAATATACTAGGATCTCTTACTGGTTCAGCACTTACTCATTCCAAACGACCCATAATTTAAATGCGAAGAGGTTTTTTTTTCATATCTGGACTGAGTTAATAAAGTGAAATAAGTTCAATCACCACATAGGGGCCGGCCACCGCCCAAGCACATCCATCCCCTACGATCAGGGAGAAGAATCACCGGACGGCTAATGGCGAAGTCCCTTGGGCAGACGGCGGAGTTCTTCCGGAGGATGGGTGAGTGGAGGAATCAGCTCCGCCACGCCGCTCCGTCGGCTAATCAATCTCATTTCACTGCCTCTGCTTCTCACAATCACTCAGAACAATCGACGTTTAGAAGGTGATTTCACTCTCATCTCTTTACTTTTTTCACACCGATAATTTCTTATAATGGAATCGAATTGTTAATATTTTGATTTCTCTATCGAATGATTTGAAGTGTGGTATGCTTGTGCTGAAGGCTATTTTCTGTTGTTCAATCTCCAGCTACCTCTCCGATCGGGTACCCATTTGGAACCCGGAAAGAAATGGATATGCTAAAACCTAGTACATGCAATTTACGTACTTGTGAGTGCTAATATTATCTATTTATGCCTGTTTTATTAGGCTAATGTGCAGTTGTTTTTCCAAGTTGAATCAAACATAAGAAAACCCCCTCTAGATGGTAATACAGGCTATTCTCTGTTAAAAAGTTCTACAGTGTGCAAACTAAAACAAAAAAAAAGAAAATCTGTTACACTTCAAGATAATGCAGTGGAAAACGGGTTTCCTTGTTTGGTTATAGGGGAAAAGAAAGGGAAAATGGAAGGAAAATAAAATGAGAAAGCAAAATATACTAAGAATAGGGAAAACCAAATTCTTCCCATTTCGGGGAGGAAAATGAAAGAAAATCATTTTCTTTTCTTTTCCTTCCAAATTCCTTGAACCTAACATGGTGTTATTGATAATGATTTTTGGTGGATATAGGTCGAACAAGTGATTGGAGCAAGTAATGTATGGCCACTCAGGGTTGGTTTTCATTCTTGAGTCTTGAGCTATTAAGTTTTAAATTTTGTTTTGGCTTTGCATCCATGCTTTTGGGTTTTGTGAGCTGTACTCTCAAGCAGTTCCAATTCTGAACTTATAACTCCTTAGGGGAACCATATTTTTTTTCTTGTGGATCTTCTAAGATATTACTATTGTTGAGCCCAGCTGTAATATAGAGCAATACTCCCTAATAAATTGACATTGATGTCTTATCCTTTTAAAGCTACTCAGCTAGATTATGGTAAAACTTCTGATTTTTTACGTCATAAATGTGCACATGGAGTACTATTTTACAACCGGGTCTTAACTTTATGGATCAGCTGATCATATAAAAACTTAGCAAGCTAGTTTTATACAGCCTCGTCTTAAGGATCCTAGTTTTAAGACACCCACCCATATCTTCAAATATCACCGTAGTTTTGAAAGGCAAGAGGCAGGCGAGATTGTATAGATAACTTTTTGAGTGAAACTACTTTTTTTTTGAATTAATAATATCTGATTTTATGACTAAAAGATGTTCTTTGATCTGCATGTAAAACGGCCTAAACGGTGGTTGTCATCTCAGCTTGGGTTTGATCTTTACGTGTTTGGCAATAACTATTAAATACTGAATTATTAATATAAATTAACTTGACATGTTGTTGACTTATGTTTTACTTTGATATAAGCTTTAAAGGATTCATTGTTTGGAGTTGAACTACTTGATTATTACGTTAATTAAATTGATAAACTCATTTGTTGATGACTATAACATTGTTGTGATTGTGTGTTGACTAAGGATAGGTAATTCAAGATCAAAAAAAATTTACACTAAATACCAAAGGAGATGTATAAAATAAGGATCAGAAAACTTGTTCATTTAATCAATACAGGGCAATTTTAGAGTTGTAACTGCATAACCACTCCACATAAGAACTGATCTCATATTCACTTTACAAAATTTCCATTGCTAGAAGTCTAGAATCTGACAATTTCTCATCATTTCAGGGCCATTGTTCAACATTTGACAACAACAGAAACATCGTGTATGTTGGGACGTATACTCCAATCAGTGTCAGCAATGCTTACACCTTTTCGCTCCATCCGCTCCGGCATCATCATGTGCGTGTTGGTCGTGCTCAACACACCCGCCGGTTCCTTCTTCGACGCGACCTCTCTTACAGGCAGTGTTTTGCTGATAGTCCTCTTCTCTGACGTCGTCAAGCTGTATGAAGTCCGGCAAGTCCCCCAAATCCAGGAAAATGTCCCCAAAATCTTCCAATTCAAAAGTGACAGAAGAGGTGGTCATCGTCACTATTGATCCTTGGCAATGATCCATGTGCGGTTGTTGAGGTTGACCCCCCAGTCCTGATGTAAAAGTAGAAGAAGGAGAAGAAGAAGAAGAGCCAACTTCATCATGAGCAGACACCTTATCAAAACAACATGTTATTGATTCCGGGGAAACTTCCAGGTTCGGGCTCTTTTCAGGATCGCCACGATTGGAAGAAAGAACAATTTCACCAAAACCAGTATGATCTCCTTGTTGCTGTTGGTTAGACAACATGACTGATTCATCAACAGCGCCCATCAACTTCTTCTTCCTCATCCTCCTGGTAATCTTGCACAATGCATATTTATTGGAACAATCGTGCAAGGTGAATTCGTGCATGCCCCACTCGTATTCCACGTCTCCGCGATGAATTGTGTTTGGCTTGTAGTTGAAGTACTTGTTGTACCCCAAAACCTGATCTGCATTATTATTAACCTTGGTTTCCCTAGTGCAGGACATGTGCCAAGTCCCATGTGCCCCAACCCTTCTTCCCATCTTTTTGCCGCCATTATTGTTAGCGCTTTGCAGTGCGGTGTAGAAGTAACAGTGCAGCTCGGCCCCACTGCCCGTGTCGTCGTGAGCGGCTCCTGGACTCCAGATGGCATAAGGGTGATCCGCGTAGACATTGGCACGGATGATTCTCGGGTACGACACGGGCAACGGTAGCCCGTGGATCAGCCTCCTCAAGTAATGGTCAAGAAGTTCGGAATCCGTTGGTTGGAACCTATAACCAACTGGCGGTGGAGCTTCGGATACAGCAACGGGAGGATTATTAGGGTTCTGATAAACGGCAACTTCCATGGCGGGAGGAAAAGATATAAGGGTTTGAACGTGTTTGAATATTCTCTTCTTGGATGGGCCAAGAAGATTAGAGATGAATGAATGAAGGAATGAATGAAGAGTTAGTAATGGGAATTAGTGTGTTTATATAGGCGGCAGTGATGTATGGTATATTAGCTCGTGTAGGATTGGATTAGAGGAGAGTGATTCGCAAGTAAGCAACAAGTGTAATCGGTTTTGGAAACTTAATTTTTTTCCCGTTGTTCGAATTATCATTCGATGATTATGTTTTTGTTTCCAAATTTGGGTACTCTGTGCGTATCTGATAATGATTGTAATAAACTGTGAGTTTATATTGAGGGTATGGGCTCTTTGAGTGGTATTTATTACTAATAGGGAGTAATTTCATTTATGTGCTCGTATATATTTATAAACTGCAATTTTTTATTACTCTCAATTTCACTATTTTTGTCTCTTTTTATGTATGTATTTTTAAAAATAATTTGTCCATTATTTTTAATTTGTTCCATATCATATTTGATATTTGAGTACTTTATACTTTGTATTAATTTTATTTTTCTTTCTTTCTTTCTTTCTTTTTAGGATATACTCAAGAGTAATATTACTCCCGTACTCAGTCCTCCTACTCATTTTAATCCTTGTCTACTTCATCGTGTCCTGAAAGTAGTAGCAGAAGGATGACAAAGTTGGAGATTGGGATGGATCTACATGTATGAATACATGTAGTCGCCCTCAATCAAATTTTTTACTCTGTAATACGGAGTATATAATATCAAAATATTTTTTTATTTTTTTTGTAAAGAGTTAAAAGAACAACCCCGATAAAAAAATAATTTGCTCCCACTGACAAAAGAAAATTTTAGTTTAAAAGTAAAAAAATAATCGCTTAAAAACATATACAGGTAAAATATTTGAAATATCATAATTATGTTATGTTATGATATATTTTATATTTTATTTTTCTACTTTAAAAATAATGTTTTTATTTAAATACTTGTTTGAAATTAAACTTATTTATTTTTTTATCATTATCAAAGGCTTTAAAAAATCGAAAGTATCACCCCTGAACCTTACCATACTCTTTAGTGTGTATTTGCTCCCAATCATATTTTTTCTGGATCTGCCACTGGTTGGAGGTGTTTTGGGGTTGTTTCTCCATGTTTATTGACTTATCGCTGATAAACAATTTTAAATTTATAAGATGTTTAGAAATTAAATATAATTTATTTTGTGGAAAAATGACTTAGATGATAGATATATAAATAATTTGTAAATATTCATAAATAATGAGAGACAATTTTGTAAATAATCTAGTCAAAATAGTGAAATGAAAAAACCGACTTAAAAATAAGCTTAATTATTCTTTTCTATGTTTTTTTACACTCTAGCAAGGAGAATAAATAGTATAGTAACATTTTAAAATAAAATACATGGCAAATATTAGTTTTTTTTATGGTATATTCATCAAAACTATTAATTATACCAAATATCTAAGTTATTAAATATTGATTTATTTAAAATTAAAGCTAATTTTTATTATGTACTCCAATTGGAGTAGAGCTTATTGCCCATGTTCGCCGTACTGAAGCCCGAGACTGCCCATCCAAGCCGGTCTTGGGCTATAATTAATTGGTCCGGTATACGAGTTGGGTCACTTTAATTTGACCAAGTCTTATAGAAATCATGGATATACAGATTATACACGCTGCTATTTTTAAAAACAATCGTGCTATGGGTACACCACTTTGTACCCCAGTGGTGTACCCCATATACCCCCACCCTACATACCACTAAATCCCACCCAATCCCACCCCATACCTCTGTTTTGTCTCTCTCTCTCTCCTCTCTCACCCACCGATTCTTTTCTCCCTTTTTTCTTCTCATTTCGCGCGGAAAAAAATCTCAGCATCATCGGAGTGCTAGCATCATCGGAGAAAGGGAAGTAGTGCGACGGCTAGTTAGCATCATCGGAGAAAGGGAACAGGAAGAGCAAAGGACCAAGTCGCGAGATTTGAAGAACGATGACCCAAGGCCGCCGAGATTTGAAGAACGATGACTGACGGCTAGTTAACATCATCAGATTCAAAGTTTAACTACGGAAGAATGTATGAAGCTACGCCGACATCTCCTATTATAGCAGGTGATTATTTATTATTGCACTAGCACTATATGTTTGTGTTATGTTACAGTTTAGTTATAAACTGGTAGAAAGAGATGGTTCATTGAAAAGACTTTTTACCCCTGGATTCTTAGACTCTAAAGAAGTCTCGGTTATGGTTAATTTACTAGCAATAATTTCAGAAACATTCTCTGCATAACATTAGACATAGGATTCTTATTAAATTGAAAGCTGTTGTTGGGAATTTATTATATGCTTTTAGTTATGGACCAGGAATTAGGAGTGTGCAAGGAGATCCGCTGCAGGTTTGACCTAGTTGGGCAATTATTATCTGCTTTCAGGTGTAATTGTTTTGCACCAACAATTATGTCAGTGCAATAAGGCAGTTTGTAGGTATCACCTACGGACAATGTCAGGTTGGATCATAATTCTTTGGTTTTAGTTGTATATGTTTTTGACCTAGAAATTATGTGTGTGGAATGAGGTTGGATTTGGGTTTAACCTACATCAAGTGTAAAGGTTGGGCAGTTATCCTCTCTTTTCAGTGAAGTGTTGCACCAGCAAAATATATCTGTGCAATGTGGCAGACTATAGCTTTCACCATCAATACATGTCTGTGCAATATGTTAGCATGCTTAAAGTTGTTATTTTTACGTGCAGGCTTTTTAGAGGGCAATGACAACTTGGATGTCGGAAGTAGTTTCATGAGTATTTTTGAAAACAACAATAAGTAATGAGATGCATATATTGGACTTGAGCATTAATTTATATGAGTTCTAAAGTAATTTTGTCATTGTTGATGTCAGGCCTATATGAAGGGGTTGAGAATTTGGGAATTGAGCCTGCTTTGGTGGGCTTTTTAAGAGATGAATGTGAAGCACATGAAATGTGTGACTTTGGTGGTGATGGAGTAATATTGAACCCACATCCCAGTAAGTTCTTTAGTGTATAAGAGTCGTGTAAACATACTTTGTGTTTTATAAGATATAATTTATGGAGTAATAAATGTGGTTTTCAATCTTCGCAGTTTCATTTGCAAGTATAACGAATGTACGTGATGCAACTACTTTCATTACGTTGTTAGAAGAAGAGGGAGACTTGCATGTCCAGGGGGCAGTGGGGACTAGTGCAAACACCATGAACTGTAAGTTGTACATAGGGGCTTCTTTATGAAATACTGAATAGACAAGGATTGCAATGGACAGACAGATTATGTAGGTGCAACTTCATCCCGGATAGCTTGCACAGACAGATTTTGTAGGTGCAACTTCGTCCCGGATAGCTTGCACAGACAGAATATGTACGTGCAAAATGAAATAGTTTACATGTATTGCTCTGTGTGTAGGTTTGGAAACACACGTTGACGCCAACGGTGAAGATGAAGTGATTGATAATGGATCAATGGGACAATGTAATGTATCCTTGATTGGGAATAATTCCGACCAACAGCAAAGACAAGAGTGTGAGTCCTTCAACGTTGTGGATGCAACGCCAGCGGTCGGTATGCGTTTCAAAAACTACGAAGCACTATATAATTTCTATCATGCATATGCTAAAAAAAAGGGGTTTCCAATTCGCAAAAGAAGCTCTAGAAAAGGAAATGACGGTATGACACGAAGTGTGACAATGACTTGTGGTAGAGAGGGTAATCGGGAGAAGCGGAGTAAAAAGAATCTAAATGCACAACCCACAATGCAGTTGGGTTGCATAGCCCGAATCACTGCCTCAGTCGATATAGAAGGTGCGTGCACCATTTCGGTTGTTAATTTAGAGCATAATCATGAGCTAAGCCCAAGCAAAGCTCGTACATGGCGTTGTAACAGGAAAGTGCCTAACCACGTTAAAAGACGTCTTGAGGTGAATGATGCTGCAGGGATCCCGCTTCACAAAAGCTTCAACTCGACTGTTGTAGAAGCAGGGGGTTATGACCACTTGACCTTTCTTGAAAAGGATTGCCGGAATTACGTGGAGCAAGTGAGGCGAGTTAAAATATGTGCCGGAGAAGCCATGGCAATCCAAGCTTATTTTCAGAAATTGCAAGCACAATGTGATGGTTTTTTTATAGTATGGATCTAGATGAAGAATCACGTTTAAAAAATTTGTTTTGGGCTGATAAGAGATCTAGAGAGTCATACAAGTACTTTGGGGATGTTATAACGTTTGACACAACATACTTAACTAACAAATATGACATGCCCTTTGCTCCTTTT